GCTCCGCGCCGGGGAGGGGACCGCGGAGGGATTCTCGGGGGAGCGCTGCGTCCTGGGGCGGCCGCTGATGAAGAAAGTCTGTGTCCCACGGCCCCTGCGCTGAAAGGGGCCCAGAGGGGCCGGCATGGGCCTCGGGTTACCTGCGCCGTGGCTGCTGCTCTTCGCCGGGCTCCCAGCAGGTGAGCCGTGGGGACGTGGGTCCCACGCTGGGCCCGGGGAGGCTGGGAGCCATTGTTGGCCGCCCTGCAGAGCCGGCCGCTCCCGTGGGCCTTGGCACGGGCGCCAGGAGGTGCGCGGACTGGATAGTTTTACCTGTGGGAACCTGTTGTTTTCGTCTTTTATTAGCCCAGGCCCTTCAGAAACAGGTGCAACTGAGAACGAAACCTCTCGGCTCACCCTCCTGCAGTCATCAGGCACTTGTTAGTGTCTAAAGCCGAGTGGATAGATGCGGAACACCACTTTTACAATTCCTAGTTACTTTTTCCTTTCATCTGATGTTTGCTCTTAAGTTTTAGATGTGGTGACAGCCCTGTTGGCCCAGAAATGCATGTATCTCACTCCTGGGAGATGATCATGTGTCCTCAAGTATACAGCGGATGTTCGTTGTGACTGGGAATCTGCTTTACAGGACCGCAACATTGAGCCCTTTGCTAGCCTTCGTGGGGTACTTTGCTACTTTTTTTCTGTTCACCTGCTTTCCTAACTTCCCCTTGCTCTTATCTTCCCTTCTGGTGTCCAGTCACCCACTGCTCCTTCATCTTCAGCCTCTACGGCCAATCCCTTGTCTGCTTTGAAAAGCCTGTTTTTGTGTCTGGTGTTGATCTCGTGGGAATATGACAGAAGTGTGTAGCTGCATGAGTGAAACCAGGTAGGAAAGGACAGCTGAATGTGCAGGCTCTTTCAGCCCTTTCCAGTGAGGATGTAGGTGTGATCTTGCAAACCAGAATGTATCATTTCCCTTCGAAGTTCTGCCCTGTTTGATTTTGTTTTATCTTTTTCTCCCTCTCTTTTAAGAATAACTGCCCTCTTACCTCTTTTTCGGTGGGAGGTCAGCTCAGTTTGCCCACACACCATTTTGAGTCTCATGTTTTTCTGAGGAAAAAGATGTAATATTAAGGCACAGGCAGAATTCCATTTTTACAGGCTTAATAGGACACAAAAATCACTCAGATGTAACAAAAACTCATTCAGACAAGATTCTATAATGACAAAGCTTAATGCTGAGGGAGAGAAGGTTGCAAAAGGGTAGAAAAATTTAAAAAATGGTACTGCTAAGGTCCTCTAGCGTACCACATTTTCTGCAGGATATTGGGCCTACAAATTATCTGAAGCTGACAAGAGGAGATGTTGGACACCCATGATACACAAGAAAATGGACCAAAACTCATTCTAAATGGAAGTGCCTGAAATTCTACCAGGGCAGTCATCAGTTTGGACTAAGAAAGCAAAATCATAAAAATGCCAGTTTTGCACAGTTTTCTATGCCTGGTGTGTTCAGCTCAAAGTCCACAGCAGCTAGGGATTTATGAAGCTGCTTGAGCTGCCTTTTTAGGAAAATAGAGGTCTATCCCTCTGCCCCTGGGCACCCCATCCCCAGAATGCTCCTGAGCTGAAAGGGGCCAGAGAGTAGACAGCATGGACTTTGTAGACAGCAGTCATCCAGGTCAATAGGATAAGACAAGAAGCCTTACAGACAAAAATCCCATTAGGGTATAAACCCCAATCCTTAAATCACCAGCATAGTACTTAAAAGTTATGAAGAATATTGAACAATGAATATTTTTCAAATAACCAAAGGATATATTCTTCCATGAAGCAAATTGCTCAATGGACAGGAACTTCAGAAAACGTTGCTCCAGGTGTTCATGAACCAACCATGCAGTGTGAGTAGCCACGATGCTGAAGTAAAATAATGAAAACTGCTGTGCTTGCCTGGCATTCTTTAAATGGAAGTCTACTGCATGGAGTGTTTTAGAACCAGAGAATGCTGAATGTGGAAAGTCCTAAGTGAACATCTAATCTCACTTTTATTTCATAGGTGAGAACTTGAGATTTTAGTTATTTTGACTCCAACACTTTGTGAGGGAAATAGCTCTTTTAGCAGGCATTTTCCCTGAATATGTGTGCAGGAAATGTAAATAAAGATGCATTTAACTATTTAATGTGCATTTGGATTTTTCACCCATGATGTTGGTCAATTTACTGAACTGCTAAAAGCCTCCAGTAAACTGGGATGATTATAGTACATATCTCATAAGGCTTTTGTGAAGATTAAATGAAATGAAGGTTTTAAAGCACTTAATACAGTTCCTGGAACAAAGTGAGGGTTTAATAGATGTCAGCCATGGTGACAATGGCAGTCATGATTTAGATCCATGTAGGATTTTATAAAGCTGACTTTAAAGAAACAATTTAGGCTTCTCTACTCCTCCTTCACCTGCAGCTAAGAAACTGCAATTAATAGTCAAATGACTATCAGGTTGGATTTCAGAATCTGCCTCTTATTAGTTGTAACTTTGAAGGAATAACCCTTCATCTAGAAAACAGGTGAAATTCCTGACAAGCCCTTTTCCTCCCCACTCCCTTCCCTCCCGCCAAAGGGGCAACTCTTGTTGGGTTGTTGAAGATCAAGCACAGTGTCTACAACATGGTCATCACTCAGGAAATACTGGGCCCTTCCCCACTGCCCTCACTTCTTTATTTTTAAATCAAACTTACTAAAATGTCTCTAAGATCAAACTGGTGAAGATCCGCTTCCTCTCTCACTCCCAGTATCTACCAGAGCAGTGTTTTTCAAACTTTTTTTCACAGCACCCAGCAAGAAATATCACTTACATTATGACATGTAAGCATGTATGTAAGATTTATAAAATAGAAACAAAAGGTTCCCACACACACCAACCCTGGTACCGTGTTGGATAAAAGAATAACGAATTGACATAAAATAGTATGTTACTAACATTTAAATTCATAGAAAATATTCCCCAAATTAACAGTATTAAATAGAAAAACCCAATAAGTTGATTTCCCCCAGATCCATTGCAAATTGCAATATAAACTTTGGAAACCCCTGTACTAGAGTGTGTTCATTTTGGTCCATCACCTTGTTCACTTCTGTTTCTAAAGAGTCAACCCAATTCTCTGATTAGCATCCAAACTTCTGCAATTGCAAAGTGTGGGACGCTAGTGAAATGATGTCAGATTTGGGTACTCGCTACTTGGTGTGACTTGGGGCCCCTGATAAAGCCTCTGAGGTCAAGGAGTTGTGGGAAGTTACTGTAGTCCCTGTGCTCTGAGCTGTGGAGAGATCAGTTGCCAGAGGTTTTTTTTTTTCTTTACAAAGAAATAAATTTTTACCACATAAGTAATACTTGCTTCTTAAAACAAAATATTAAGACAAAGCTAAAGTAAATACCTGCAGTCCTTTATGTTATTGGCTAACAGCTCTGGTTACATTCATCCAACCTCAAAGTTTATCCCTGGAATGAAAGTTTAGTTACCCCCGCAAATTTTAAAAGGGTGTGTCATTTGTGCTTTTGTGAAAAAAACTTTAATATCTTAGAGTGGTGTTAACTTACATATCCACACAGCTATCAACATTTAATATTATTCTTTGAGAAATCAGACAGCTGAATCCTAAGGGACAAGGTTGTTAGTATGTAGAATTTGTAATTTTTACTCAGTGGTGTGAATGAAAGTTAGAATCTTACTGAAGACTTGATGACATCTTGATCCCTGACATAGTAGATAGTGAAATGGAGCTTCTCAGGGTGAGGGACCTATGGGTGGTGGATGGGAGGCTGCTAAATTCGGCAGCTCCCTTGTCCCCATGGGACCCCCTGAAATATCTCCCTAGCATTCCAGTGCTCTGCTGAACATAAGTGGAAGTCACTCCCAGTCCCTGCCTTCCCCTCTTGGTCAGTTTGACAGACGGGGAAACCTGTGTTCAGGGAAGTCACACATCTCAGGTTGACGCAATGGAGTTAGTTTGAGAGCTGAGACCAGAACCTGGCATCCTTACTCTTAGTCCATTGCCCTTTCATCTGTTTCATGCCATGGAGTAGGTTTGTTTTGTCTAATTGAATCCTGGTGTACAGAAATAGAAATAGAGTGTCTCCTGGATATCTAACTAAATGCTCCTTATTAAACATCGTCGCCCAACAACAATGCAGAATAAGATGCCAGGTAATTGATATATCATCTGCCTGGGTTTTTTCCAGCCTGATACTTTATTTCCTCATTTGAAGTCCTTGGGGAATAAATAAAATTGTGTGTTTTAAGAATTGGAAAGACACTGATCATGTCATCTTCCTCCAGTCCTTATTTCTATGTCTTCTGATGTGGAAATCTTAGGGCAAGCTAGGGTCAGAGGAAAGCAGTTTTGACACTTTTCCTTTCCCAAATCCAGTTAATCACCGAGTTCTTTTGCTTAATCCCAGGATCTGCCCCTTTTCTATTCCAGGAGACAAATGTTGCACTAGCCTACTTTAAGCATCTTTTAAATTTATCTTTATTGTTGAAAGTATTACAGCTGTCCCTT